GCCCAAGGCTCAATAGATTCCCTAGGCCTCCTCACTGACACCCAGATTCAGGGGGTCTTGATCAGTCCCATGCTGGCTTCCCAGGCTGATGCCTGGGATTCAAGAGTTAACCTTTGTCAGGTCAGCTGTTTCTGGGGGTTAAACCAGCCCAGTCTTAATCCCTTTGATCATCAGTCCTCCCTCTCTGTTACTGGCTTTCTTGAGTTCAGCTCAGTACTTAACCAAGGGAGTCTGCCTCTTCTTCGATCAGCCACTAAATGAAGTTTCTGTTTCCCAGACTCTCTGGCCATAGGATTGTAGGCTGGCACTCCCCAGATCTATGTCTAAAATCCATATATGAGAGAGTACATGCCATGTTTCTCTTTTTGTGACTGGGTTACCTCACTCAGGATGGTTTCTTCTCGTGCCATCCATTTGCCTGCGAATCTCATGATTCCATTATTTTTTTCTGCTGAATAGTACTCCATTGTGTAGATGTACCACATTTTCTCTATCCACTCTTCAGGTGAGGGACATCTAGGTTGCTTCCAAGTTCTGGCTATTACAAATAGAGCTGCTATGAACATAGTGGAACAGACATCTTTGTTGTATGAATGGGCATCTTTTGGATATATGCCTAAGAGTGGAGTTGCTGGGTCTTGTGGTAGGTTTATTCCCATTTTTCTGGGGAATCTCCATACTGATTTCCAAAGTGTCTGAACCAGTTGGCACTCCCACCAGCAATGGAGGAGTGTCCCCCTTTCGCCACATCCTCTCCAGCATAAATTGTCATTGGTGTTTTTGATTTTAGCCATTCTGACAGGAGTGAGATGGTATCTCAGAGTTGTTTTGATTTGCATTTCCCGGATGGCTAAGGATGTTGAGCACTTTCTCAAGTGCCTCTCAGCCATTTTAGACACTTCTATTGAAAACTCTCTATTTAGTTCTGCAGCCCACTTTTTAATAGGGTCCTTTGGTGTTTTGGAGACTTGCTTCTTGAGTTCTTTGTAAATTTTGGAGATCAACCCTCTGTCAGATGTGGGATTAGTGAATATTTTTTCCCTTCTGTGGGCTGCCTTTTTGTCTTGCTGACTGTGTCCTACTGAAACTGAGAAGCTTCTGTAAGGCAAAGGACACAGAGTATTTTTTTAGAAAGCTGTAAAAGCTAAAACCATATGAAACACACACACAAAACATAAAAACACAAAATTGGGAAACACAATATATAAGCAAAAGACCAGTAAGGTTAAAAATGTACAAAGTAACATGAGACCAAACAAATAAAAAATAAAAAATCCACAGAAACACCATTGAGCCCGTTTTGTGGTTGTCACTGATGGGATAGGGCCTTAAGTATCATTTGTATACCCAGTGTGACATTGGGGAAAAGCGGGTTTTTTCCTTTGTGAGCAGTTGTCAGTTAGAGGTAGAGTCTTGGTATGGATGGGAAAGCATGTCCACTTCCCTCTCTCACCCTGGGAACCTATCTGGCTTGAGCTCTTGCAATCTCTGCCCTGTGCCCCAGTCTGTGTGAGTTCGTATGTGCACCAGTCCTGCTGTGTCTGGAAGACACTGCTTCCCTCTGGCTTTTAATCTTTCTGCCTCCAGAACCATAGAAATTCTTACTCTTTTTGATAGCATGCATTTTTGAGATAAATAAAAGGGCACCTTTTTTTGTTTGTCTTGAGCTTATTGTTAACCTTTGTGATTGCTTTCATAGTTGCCTGTAGCCTTTTTAACCCTGAATTCTAAGAAGTTTTCTATTTTAGTCTCTAAATATTTGATGTGGTATGAAATGTAATCACTGGCCCTCAATACTAGTATCAAATTTGATAGAAATCCTGTAATATTTCTTGATAGTGTTGCAGGCTGCTTGTTACTACTCTTGTATGAACATTTCCAGCCAAATAGGCAGGCTCTTGTGGTGGCAATAAGCAAATCATACTTGGGTTATTAACTATTTTTAAATTATTATTATTACTACAAAAATTAAAATTAGTATTTGTTGGGTAATGCCTTCCTTGCCAGCCGCTTTGGTTTTTCCCCACCAGTCACCTAGGCTCTGCCGCATTGCAGTCCCCAAGTAACACACAAGACACTGTATTAATTATAAAGCTGTTGACAGTTTGGTTTCTTACTGGCTATCTCTGACTTAAGTATTTACTCCATAATTGTTTTTTTTTTTTTTAAGTTAGCCTCCAGTGTTGTTTCTCTGGAACCATCACCTTATTATTTATTTATTTATTTATTTATTTATTTATTTATTTATTTTGGTTTTTCGAGACAGGGTTTCTCTGTGTTGTTTTGGAGCCTGTCCTGGAAATCACTCGGTAGACCAGGCTGGTCTCGAACTCACAGTGATCCGCCTGCCTCTGCCTCCCGAGTGCTGGGATTAAAGGAGTGCGCCACCAACGCCCGGCTTACTCCATAATTGTTAATCTAAGTATTTCTCTTACCGGAGAAAGGGTCCGGACTTCTTACCCTATGGCGGCTACATCGTGGCTCTCCGTGTTTTTCCTTCCCAGAGTCCTCCTCGACTCCTAGTCCCACCTATCTTGGCTTCCCTATTGGCCAACAGTGCCAACAACCAATAAGAGACAGATTTCAGAATGACATCTCCCATCAATTATTTATTAGCAGATATTAAATCCAGCTTTCCTCCATGGGACTGAAAATTTTAGTGACAAGGAAGGTATTATTTACTTAGAATTTTAATATATATATATATACATAAAGTATTTTCAGTGTGTCTGTCTCCAAAGGAGGCACAGCTGTGATCCTGAATCCTGGCTTTTGATCCCATGTGAACTAGCAGCATACTCCTGGAGATCTGTATCACCCAAGGTGTTAATCACCTTATTTCTGAAATTAGTAAGCCTACTAGAGCTCATTTTGTTATCCTACTACTAATTCCTTCTACTTTTGATATGTAACCATTATCTGAAAGCATACCATCTTTTGTAATTTGATTGGTGAACTTGCTCTCTGATGCTGCAGTACCTGGGATCTTATTTACCTCTTCAGGATCAACAACACACACAAACACATGTTTTGAAGATGTGTAGTGCTTATCTTCAGAGCAGAGTTTGGCCTACTCTGTAAATGTGTTCAGAAAACAATATAACACAGATATTGAAGGCAGCTTGTTTTCAACTTGTAGCTAAACATGACATTCAAATGTTAATTGGATGAATAAATCTTGTTCATTTTTACAGACATGGAAATGTCAATGGAATAAAACTATTTATCACAAGATAATGGTCTCCTGCTGCCAGATAAATGCCAAGATGAAGATAGTTATTGAAAATGTATCAAAATATTCCAGTGGTGTTTATTGAAAATAAAGGTTGAGGGAAAGTTCAGCTTTTCAGGTCAGACATGAGAAATGCCGTGCTTATTCCATTAGTACGTTACTGCATCAAAGACAGGGTGCATGGTGCAGAAACATGGGGACTGCCTAGGAAATAGCAGTTCAGAAATGGATCTGTTAGCTTTGAAAATTACTGAATGCAGAGTAGGGGCTGGGAGGTGTCGAGAATTTCCAGAACATTTTCTGTGTTCCTAACACAGTCCTTTGACCCTTTGAAGGGTCGTTCATGTACACCTCATGAGAACAAACCCCATTTATAGGAAAAGTTGTGTGCCATTTATAGGAAAAGTAACTGAGATTCAGGCGACAAAGAATTATGAAGTAAAGTAACTGAGATACACACAGAGGGCAACTGCTGACCCTATGGTTAAACATGGCCTGGATTCTAAGCCTGATGCTTCTGCTCACGTCCTATATTTCTTCTTGGACTCTGAGTCTGTTCATTACAATGATACATAGTTTTTTGAGTACAGCATTTCCTGGAGGTGTGTTGCACTCCTTTGAGCCCAGTAATTCAATAGTTCTCATCAGGTAAAATTGGGTATTTGTCTAAGGAAAAGGCTTATCTGCTGTCTGAGACCTTGCTTCTGTGAATGGACAGTGGCCCAGCTTCTAGCAGTGCATCTTGAAACCCTTGGCTAACTCTCTCATCACTTGAGTTTGAACTTATCCACCTACTTTCCCTCTCATCTATCTGCATCGTAAGTACCATGGTGGTCCTTATAAAATAATCTGAATGGGCACCAAGTATAAAGAGGTGATTGAATGTTCCTGAGTGATTGAAAGGAGAATTTTTTGCTCACTGCAGTTTCTTGCTAACCTCTTCATGCTAGCCTCCCAGGGTTCTCCACTCCACGCATGCCATCTCCCACTGATACCAACACCATACGCAGGTGTCTCTGTCTTCCGTACTCTCCAGCACTAACTAGGTTTCTCTTGGCAATAAGCTCTTTCTATTTAGTATTTTAAGATATTCATATACTTTTCATGGTTTCCCCAGTAAATGGTAAGCTACTAACTACAAGAAATTATGTTTCCTTTCCTTTTTGTCTCCTTGATACCCAGTAGAATGATTGGAACATTATTGTTAATCAACAAGAGAGTGAAGAGGCCTGGGTGCAGTCTCTTTGAGGACCAGAGGAATCATCAAGGCTCCAGCAACATCCATAGCAGACTTCTGGGAATAAGAAAGTCCATTTCCTGAGCTTTCCCTTATGCTTGTATCTGTCATTTTTCTCTGAAACATGTTCACCTTTCATTTATTATTTATTTATTTTTGGTTTTTACGAGACAGGGTTTCTCTGTATTGTTTTGGAGGTTGTCGGTCCAGCCTGGCCTTGAACTCACAGAGATCCGCCTGCCTCTGCCTCCCGAGTGCTGGGATTAAAGGCGTGTGCCACCACCGCCCGGCTATTTATTTTTTAAAATTCCTAAATATCTTAGTTGTTGTGTGGATACAAAGGAGAGAGGTTTGGATGTTTAATCCTCCCTCAGAAAGAAAATAGTAATTCACATGTAAGTCCCATTCCTAAGTATGTGTACACCTGTAGAGATTTTTTCAGGAAGTCGGGACACTTGGTACTTTAGAGCAACAGCAAGCACCATCATGCCTCGGGTCACTAACACAGCCTTTCATGATGGACTTTCACAGATGGGAAACCTTTATCCCTGACGGATATCTGGGAAGGAGTCCACGAATGCTATAAGACACGTCTGCTGCAGGGACCATGGGACACTATTACCCAGCAGGTCAGTCTTTTCATCTAGTTTCCTTACCCACTTCTTTCCCTGTTTCAATCCTTCATATCCTTAGAGATTTCAATTCAAAGACAGTTTCTTTAAAAACATCATTCCAGACCCAGGCTTGGTTTACTCTCCTTATTATAAGCTTTCATAACACCCTCTCCTTTTCTTCCATGGGGCTTATTATAATTTTGAATTATATATTTGGGTGACTACCTTTTAAAAACAATGTTGTGAGCTCCTTTTTGAGCAGACAGTGTTTGTTTTTGTGTTTTACTCTTCATCATTTGCCTGGGGCCAGCATAGTACTTAGTGTATACTAGGTGCTCAACAAAAGTTTGTTTTATATGTGAAAATAAAATATAAGTTGGCACACACATTCAGAAACAGGAGATTCCAGCAGCCAGGAGGCAGAGGCAGGAGGATTTCAGTAAGTTTAAGACCAAGCATGACTACATAGTGAGAACCTCTCTCAAAAATAAAGGAAGGAAGGTAGGAAGGGAGGGAGGGAGGGAGGGAGGGAGGAAGGGAGGGAGGGAGGGAGGGAGGGAGGAAGGAAGGAAGGAAGGAAGGAAGGAAGGAAGGAAGGAAGGAAGGAAGGAAGGAAGGAAGAAGAGCAGTCTAGCTTGAGAGTAAGCTTGGAGACTTAGTTTGTAAAGTGTTTGCTGTGCAAGCATAAAAACTTGAATTTGAACCCCCAGCGTTCTGTACCCCCAGTGTTGCAATGGAGATAGGCAGATCTGAGATGTCTGAATGAATGAACTGCGCACGCACACATTTTACACACAGAGAGACAGAGACAGAGATGAAATACCCAGAAATGTGTACCTTTAACAGAGAAAATGTTTGTTTTAAGTGTCAAGGAAGATGACAAAAGGTGTAGGAAGATGCAAAATCATATGTAAAATATGTCTTTAATTTTTCTCCTTTTTTTGATACAAGATCTTACTGTGCAGCTTGGCTGTCTAGAGAAGTAGGCGCTTTGGGTTTCGTTGCTTATAATTACTTGTCAGTTTCACTTGTAGATGCATTTGCAAAAGAAAATGTGAACTCTTGATTAGGAATAGATTTGCAATATGCAAAATATGAAAATAGATTTACAAAAGGAGATATAAAAAGCAAATTTGCAAAAGTATAGAAAAGGGGTTTGCCAATCATGTCATTATTACTGTCTTATTAAAACAGCAGTTAATTATTTTAGAAATTTAAAAATACTACTTTGCAAGCATCATAATCTTTAAAATAATTTTATGTATATAAAAATTTTTCTCTAAGTCTCTGTTTAGCTTCATAAAACTTCCTTTAAAAATGGCTTTATCAGTCATTAGATTATGCCCTCCTGTGGCTTTGATCATCATTATGGTAGTTTACATACCCGTCAACATAAGTAGTTCTTTCGAGTGGCTGCAAGTGACTGTTGTCTAGGTGGTTTTTTGTTTGTTTGGTTGGTTGGTTTTTTTTTTTTTTTTTTTTTTTTGGTTTTTCGAGACAGGGTTTCTCTGTGGTTTTGGAGGCTGCCCTGGAACTCGATCTGTAGACCAGGCTGGCCTCACACTCACAGAGATCCGCCTGCCTCTGCCTCCCGAGTGCTAGGATTAAAGGCGTGCGCCACCAACGCCCGGCTTGTTGTCTAGGTTTTTAACTATGGACAAAACTAGCACTAGGCTCCTTTCACACTGCCCTCAGATTCCGCCATACCCATCTTACGTCACTTGCTTGGGAACTCTTTCTAGGTTTAATGCCTTCTTCCTTCTGTCTGGAAATTTCCTACCTACTCTTCCATTGACTCCTTTCTCTCAAACAACATCGGTTCCCTCTGCAATCCAGGTTCAATCCAGACTGGGTAGATGTGTGGTTCCTGTGAATACAGTAATTTGATAAATAAGCGAGACGGTTACAGAGAGGCTGGCAGGATGGCTCAGTATGTAAAGGGCTTACAGCGCAAGCCTGGCAATCTGAGTCTGATTAGTGAAAGGTGGAAGGAGCCCCACAAAGTTGTCTGCTGATCAACACATGCATGCCATGGTGTGCGCGCCTGCACTCACAGACAAATAATAATAATAATTTAAAAATAACCGTATAGGCTTTGAGCAAGACAATCTTGTTTAATGGTAACTGATTTGTATTCACTTTTGAGTATGCCAAAGTGAATGCTGTTTGAACTTTCAGTATTGTGAATGACCACACACTGCCAGAAATGTATAACATTGAGTCAGAATCCACAAGACAGACAGAGAAAATGTTTGTTTTGAAGTGTCAAGAAAGATGGCAAATATATAGGAAGATCATAAGCAAAATGTGTATGTCTTTAATTTTATCATTCTCTGTTTATACATACATACGTCTCACTGTGCAGCCCTGGCTGGCCTAGAACTCACCGTGTTGGCCATGCTTGCCTCACACTCAGAGATCTTCTGCCTGTCCCTCCTAGTGGTTGGGTTAAAGGTGTGTGCCACCGCTCCAACTTTAAGTACTTAGCTCCTTCCTTTTTAAAAAAAATCTATTTATTTATTTAATAACTCCTGACTGAAATTCCTCCCTTCTCCAGTTCCCCCCACCCCGTCCTGCTCTGCCCCCCCACATCCTCTCACTCACTCCTCCTCCATTTCTATTCAGAAAAGGGCAGGCCCCCCATGATTAGCAATGGAACATGACATATCAAGCTGCAGTAAAGACTAATCACCTTCCCATGTATTAAGGCTGGGCAAGGTGACCCAGTATGAGGAGTAGGGTTCCAAAAGCCAGTAAAGAGTCAGAGACAGTCCCTGTTTCCACTGTTGGAGTCCCACAAGAGGACCAACCTACACAACTATCACATACGTGCAGAGGGCCTAGGTCAGTCCTCTGCAGGCTCTCTGGTTGTCTCTGTGAACCCTGTGTGCTTTCTTCCTCAATTTCGCTCCTGATTCTTCTTTTCCTGGCCTCTTCCTTTTCCTCATTAATGCCTCTGTAATTAATCTCAGTGCCAGCCTATTCATAGTTCCTGGTATGTTCTAATCCCACACATCTCTGTTAGAGCTCATGACATAGGAATAGAAGTTTTAATTCAACTGCATTTTCTTTTGTTTCCTAACCCAGTGTTACCAGTAGAGTTCTTTCCAATATCTAAGATGTTTACACAATCAAATGAACCAGTCTGTACACTCTTTTTAAGAATTGTCTAAAGTATTTTAATTTGTAGACATCTGAATGCCCCCTTTCCCCATTTGTCATAGTGTTGTCATGGTACAGATCAGTGATCTCTAACCTGCAGCTCACTTGATAGGTATGTTGTGTGCCCAACTATAAAATTTAGGTAGACGTTGGGGATTTCTTTTACTGGAATTTGGATTGTGGGTAGTTTAAATAACTGTTCCTGATAAGTCTCCTAGTAAAATCTTCATTTAAGCTTTAGAGTCACTTAACCAAGTACCTGCCTAGGCAGTCAAGACTGAGCAAGATAAACTCATTTGTAGCCATGGGCACCACTGGGCATTTGAAAGTTATTATATGTATTTCCTTGGAAGATCTTGGTTCTTAATCCCAGATTGGCTAACAGGTTACTATTTATCTTTTGCTTTACTTGAGGTCTTTGGAAGAGTAGACCTGTATTTTTTATAAGAGTTTGTGCATGGGGGAATAAAACAAGGTGTCCACAATGGGAGAGAGTGGAAGGAGGAGAATAAGCTGATAGCATATTGGTGCCACCAAATAGTAGACACCGTTTTGCAGAATTATTCTAACGAATCATTATCTTGCAGACTGAACACTGTAATAATATCCTGTCCCCCAGAGTGCCTTAAAAACAAAAGCAGCCTTTGCATAATATAGAATGCATTTCACTTCATTTTCAGGCCTGATTGTGCTCACATGGTTTGTTCCTCTTCATCTTCAGTAATCACACTTCTGTTCTCTCAGCGTTTGTCTTGATGATAAGGGCTTGTTCATGTCAGACATGAACCCTGTCTTTTGAAGACAAGCCACTCATGAATCTCATACATCTGATTATGGTGATTGCTCACCTGCCTTTGTCCAACCTTACAGACTAGCTATTATTTCAACGCATCAGCCTAATAAAACCTTCCTGAAGACAGTTAACCGGTACCTAGTAGGATCTAATAAAACCTTCCTGAAGACAGTTAACCGGTACCTAGTAGGATCTAATAAAACCTTCCTGAAGACAGTTAACCGGTACCTAGTAGGATCTAATAAAACCTTCCTGAAGACAGTTAACCGGTACCTAGTAGGATCTGGCTGAATTTCTAAAGTGGCCATCACTGAAGGTGTGAGTGCTGAGTTTTAGGACAAAGAAGCCTTGGGATCTTAGCATGGACTAAGGTCACAAGATTTTAAGAAAAAAAGCAGATCTTCAACTTTTACTTAAAGGAGTTTGTATGTGAAGGTGTATATAATCAAATAAGTAGGTTAGGTTTTTTTCTTTCTTATTTCCTTAAACCCTGTATTTTAAGAAATTTCAAACATATCCAAAACTATAGGTGATAGTATGTACACTTAAAAACTTGTGGTGATATTATTTATTCATTTATTTGCTTAGCCACTCGTGGCTAAACCTAGGTTTCCCCATGTGATAATCAGATGTTCTAACCACATAGCTATACCCCAATCTCAGACTGGTTTGTTTGTTCACAGTTTTTGATATCTCATCCAGTTTGGAATTTTTTAGCACAAACCTAAGGCATCATTTTTTTCTCATCTATAAATGAGTGTCCATCTTTAAAAGTAAAGCCTTTGCTCAAGTATTTATAGCAGTGATATTTATAATAGCTCCAAATGGAAACAAAATATGTGTCCTTCAGTATGAATGTTTAAACGGATTGTGGTCCACACTTGCCCTGGAAGGCTATTCAGTAATCAACAGGATTCAACTAATGGCACACCCCAACTTGAATGAGTCACTACACAGTTAATCCAGTGTAAAAAGACAACCTGCAGAGTTTGCATGTGCATGATTCCATTTCCATAACACCTTTTCTTCTTTACATTTATTGTTTCCAAAGTTTATTTAT